AGCATTACCTGGGCGCTGGCACTGTGAGGAAGTCAAGAGTCTGTATGGAGAAGGTGTAGAAAACCTGCATCCACCAAACCCTCACCTATTTGCGTATTAATCACAGGCGCTAACCACACAGACCCAAATGGGCACTCAGGAGCCGGCGAAGCCTTTAAAGCATTCAAAAAAGAAACATCATACATTTTCTAGCACATAAATGTGTTTAAAAAGGTATATAATTTATAATAGCAATGCTGACAGAGCTTTAACTACATGACAAAAGCTGAACTAGAATGTATTTACGTGTGAGCAGTACTTACTGTGTGGGCGCGTTGCTGTTGATGTGTTTCCATGTGATTCTCCATAATTTCAGCAAGTGATTGTAGTAAGGGATATTAAACCATAGTATTGATAATACTTTTACAGCTCTGCTTTGGGAAATGCATTACTGCTAAATTAGTCCCTGAAAATCTAGAGATATTAACACTGTCGAGCATGAAGGCAGATGGGATTTGGATCAGAGACCTTTATTTGTAGTATGCTACTAAGGAGTCATTACTTTAACACAGGAACTTCGTTTCCTTGAATATTAACTCGAGTTGGGGATTTTACTTCCGCTTTGGCATGAACGAGCTTATCATAAAAGCGTAAATGGAACTCGCTTGATATTGATTTTTCTTATGCTCTAAAAAGATGCTTAATGAAACTCGAGGTACCTAGATAAAGACCTTCACTGAATGCAAAGTAAGCTTAATTGCAGTTCCCTTAACAAGCTACTGGAGATGAATTTTTTTTCTACTACAAAGCCCTTTCACCTATTTAGATTGTTTCTCTTCCTGTGTGTGCCAGGATGCATTAATTCAGGGTGTTTTTTCCCTCTCCCCAACAGGCAAACTGTAGCTTAAAGAAAGGAAAACTTCTTTGCCAGTTCGTGCATGGAAAAAATTTCGACCTTGGGGAACTTGGTTTTTGAGGTCTAAATGAGAGTTTTTAGTCTTTAAAGGGAGTAGCTGTCTCTGCTCCACTTCTGCAGAAGGGGAGATGGGCACGGAGGCAGGTTCTGTAGTGGAACCAGAACCTGAGCTGAGGTTTTTCCAGCGTTTGTCCTGCCATCTGCCCGATCCTGCAGCTGTGCCAGAGCAGAGACAGGGCTTTTATTTTCACCCTCCAGCACTGCAAGCCCCAAAGCAAATAGGAAGGGTAGGCTCAGAGTGTTCCCTTCCTTGCCGAGAGCAGCATTTGTGCCCTTGAAGTTGTGGAGATGGAAGCAACAGTGTGTTCCCTGGTCGTGGTGACTCTTTCTCCTCTAGGTCCTGCCTGTGCTGCTTGCTCGCAGCCCTGTTAATGCTTAGTTAGGTTCTTTTCATTCTCCTCCTCGTAATTATTTCTCTCCTCCGGGGCAGCGGGTCTGCCAGAGGCTGCGTCTGTGCCCGATGCCAGTTCTGTGCGATGTCCGCAGGGACCTCGTGTGACTGATGTGACTGGGCTGACGCTGTGTCCAGAGTCACGGAGCTCTGAATCGCCACCCCCGCCTCTGCTGGGGACACCCCAGTCACCAGAGACACAGCCTGTCCCCTCCGCAATTTGCTTGGAGTCGAGACGTATAAAGCGTGATAACCGTGTTAATTACGCAGAATGCCTTCAAGCCCCGCTTCCTGCTGCTGTGCGAGAAACTTTCTGCAGAAAATGTCCGACAGCTAAAAGATGGAATAATTCCATTTTTTTTTTCCTGTGCCACAACTATCGTGCAGCAAGAAAGCTGGGTATTTAGCACACTTGTGGGTAGTCAAACAGTGCCAGGGGAGCCCCTGGGTGAGGTGTAAGCCCAAGAAACCTCTTGCTCTTTTCCT